TATTATCCTACTATTGTTACACAATTTATTAACATACTCTTTTTTAGGTTCATTTAGGTTCTTTTGATAACGATAGCAGAAAATAGCTATCGAAATTTTTCAAATTAATTTCTTTACTAATAGGAATTTTCTCTTACAGCTTGAGCTTAAGTGTGTCGCAGGATACCCTCTAGGTGATAGTTCTTGATTAATTTTTGATAAATAATTCGTTGTTATTGCGAAATAGGAGCACTATTTATCAATCTGTAATAAAAGACGTGAGGAAATTCTGTCTTTTTTAAAGACAAACATTTTTGAGGCGAAATACGGAACTTATCATGAAACTGTAGTTACAGCAGCCCGATTTAACCGTTCTTTTTGGAACTGTCTCATAAACCTGAAAAGTGGTTTGCGTCAGCACAGAACCGATGCGGCATCGTCGAGCGCTCTATCCAGTTGCAGCAGTTTCAGTAACCATTTGTCAACGGAAAATATGTTGTATGTAGTTGCGCGTTGCCTTGATTTGTGTATTACTTTTCATTTATAAAAATGACTCAGTTCTGCAGGAACCATACTCGCTCAGATCATCATCATTCTGCATTTTTAAGAAAAAATTTAAAAAGTTACATGTTCCTTTTGGAACCACATTTTGAAACCTATTACCAAGGTGAAACTGGAACGTTGTAACCCCTTACAGAAAATAACCGTTTATCACACCTCTAGTACAGAATGTGTTTATCAGCAGCAGAAAATGTACTTGCCTTACGTTCGCTCCAAGACACACCAACTCCTCAACCAGCCGATATTCCTTGCAAAGAGCGCACCATAGCAGAGTGATGTTCACCTGCGCAGCTGAGGCCTCATTCAACCTATTCCGCAGCTCTTCTGCGCTTATTTGTCCATCGGCGATTTCATACAGTAGTTGAACACTGCCACATTGTCTCATCTCGCTCAAAATGCCTCGTTTTAGCGACTCATTCGACAAGGAAATCGCCTTCTTTATGCAGGAAACTCGCTTGAAGCTGCGGTTTTCAATCGTTTGCAAAGTTTCGGACAATTCAGAGTCGGTGGCTTCCAAGTCACTGAATAAACTCTCTTTCTTTCGGGATATGCCCAACTTGACCAGCTCCAAGGTGTTGAACATGAAGGCTTTGTAACTGTTCTGCATGGCTACTTCCTGAACGAAACAATAGAGTTGGAAAATGCAGTGGAAGTTTTACTTTAAACGCTGCACAGTCCGGCAAGGGAAAACACTTTTCTGGCTGCCACCTGAAAACTGTCGCCACTAAATAAAACGGGTTTTCCAGAAATCGGTTCCACATCTGTGTTTATTTGGCATATTTTCAATCCAGTCTAAGCAAATATTGACCTCCCGATTGATTAAATTTAGACCGATAAAGTCGCATCAAATTGAAAAAACTAGTTCTGACGATGCGGCACCCACTGCAGCATTGTCATCAGCGTGTTCTTCAACGCCGCAATTTCCGGACGCTCTTCATTTAACTGGATGGTTTCCACATCTTTATAGTGGTTTGTCCGCACGTCTTGTCGCACTAGTGGATGCTCACATATGCATGTCAGCGCCTGCAAACGCACATGCTTCCAATGAAGAGCAAACGGGGTTTTCCTGCTAAAGCGCACCTTGATGGCAAATATCTGGGCTGTTGGGTTCAGTTTGTTCCTGCTCAGTTCAACCAGACGTTTCGGCATGCTTCTTATCTTGCTGGCTGTTATTTTTTCCGCGCTTTTAATCGTGCAGAACATTATGGCTTCTGCGGCTGCCGAATAGACCTCGGGTCTCTGAAAACAGGAGTTAGCAACATCATTTTCCAGAAAGCGAATGAAAAGTTGAAAACTGGGAAACTTGGAAACTCACCTCATCATGCAAAAGTCGGTTAAAGTCCTTTAACAGATTGAGTTCCTTGGCCAGTTTGCGCCCTTCTTTCACCATGCACAGTTTTACTAAGGCTTGGCAACCTTTGGCCAAAATCGCTCCTTCGTCTCTATCCAGCACTTTAACCTGGAGGCATCAGGGCAGCCGCAAATTAATGACAAATAATAAGCGCCTCAATATCTACCAAAGTCTGAAATCCATCCTCCTCTAGGGCGATTTTCTTCCCATCACAGTAAAACAGCGATTGAAGAGTGTCCAGATGAAGTTCCACTATTTCCTCCATATCGGATAGGTTTGTTAGTAAAACGGGGATGAATCCGGCCTCTACAAGCGCATCAGCAGCTAAAACATTGCATTTTTATGGTGTGTTTCGAACAGAGTATTTGAATCAAAAGAGAGAGACTTTCGAGGCCATTCCTTGAAACTAATGGGTTTTGCGGGTTTTTACGAAAAGCCCATTAGTTTTTATAATTTTTTGTTGACCTATAAACTGCTTCTTCAAACAGCACACTATCTTTTTTCAAAAAATCGTCTTTCAATTGAAACCAGGTAGCAAATTGAAATTGGCACACCCTATAGAAGAGACTTAATCCTAAAAATATCAAAATTTGCATTGATGTTGCACTGAAAGCTAATGTTTGCCCAGCCGGTAGAAGCTGGTTCAAAAATGGAAGTTTTCAATCACTGCACGCTTTTATTGAAAAATCGGTAACTTTTAGTCCAGAGCGCGTAGCAA